TCCTCTCCGCGCGCCGGCACGGCCGGCAGAGGGGGCCTCCTGGGCCCTGACGTCAAGGCGGGGAAGAAGGGTTTAAAAGGGGCCGGGGCGGGCAGGAGCCCCCAGAAGCCGCGGCGGAGACCCCAGCTGAGCGTGCCAAGCCTCCTCCCGGACCAGGCTCCCCCAGCAGCGCCCACCATGCTGTCCTGCCGGCTGCAGGGCGCCCTCGCCCTGCTCTCCATCGCGCTGGCGCTGAGCGGCGTCTCGGGGGCGCCCTCGGACCCGCGGCTCCGGCAGTTCCTGCAGAAGTCACTGGCTGCGGCAGCGGGGAAACAGGGGAGAGCCCCGGGCTGGCCGGGGGTGGGGGGGCCGGGGGGAGCCTGCCCAGCTCCCTCCCGGGGTACAGGTGCGCTCCCCCGGAGCAGCCAGCCCCCGGCGTCCCGTTCCCGTTGCAAGGGGGACGGAGCTTCCCTTAGCATCTCCCGTAGCATCCATCCCCCCGGCATCCCGTTCCCTTTGCAAGGAGGAAGGCGCTTCCCTTAGCATCCCCGGAGCATCCAACCCCTCGGCATCCCGTTCCCGTTGCAAGGGGGAAGGCACTTCCCTTACCATCCCCGGAGCATCCAACCCCCCGGTATCTCATTCCCCTTGCAAGGGGGACGGGACTTCCCCTAGCATCACCTGCAGCATCCATCCCCTCGGCATCCCGTTGCCTTTGCAAGGGGGAAGGAGCTTCCCTTAGCATCCCCGGAGCATCCATCCCTTCGGCATCCCGTTCCCGTTGCAAGGGGGACGGGACTTCCCCTAGCATCACCTGCAACATCCATCCCCTCGGCATCCCGTTGCCTTTGCAAGGGGGAAGGAGCTTCCCTTAGCATCCCTGGAGCATCCATCCCCTCGGCATCCTGTTCCCCTTGCAAGGGGGAAGGAGCTTCCCCTAGAGCATCCCTTGGGGCATGCATCCCCACTTTGCAAGGGGGAGGCAGGGCCGGGGGCACTGGGCAGACTGGGCACATGGGGCTGGACCAGACGAGGATGCTAACTGGGAGGATGGGGAGGTGTCCAGGGTGCTGGCGCTGTCCCGGGTGCTGAAGCGAAGCCCCCCTCTCCGAGAGGAGTCCGCCTCGGTGAGGAGAGCCCAGCCCAGAGCTGGGCACCGGGCAGTCCTAAGAGGAAGCAAAGCTTTTGCCTTGAAAAGGAAAAGGGGGCATCAATGCAGTAGTTGTGGGCCCTGGCATCCATGCATGTGCTTCGCAGAGTCTCTCTCCAGACTGTCCCGCGCTGGCGAGGTTAAATACAGCCGAGCTGTGAGTTGGTACCCGTGCAAGAACGAAGCAGATCCAGCCTGTATCCCCTTCACTGTATTGCCCAGGCAGATTAAAAGGGAAAGGGTGGGTTTGGTGAGATTTCTTATACATCTAGCAGATGTCTGTCCTTGTTGGGTCTGGATGTCGCTGGGCAGGTATCATTATTGGACAGCTCTGGGTTCCCTTTCTTGTTTGCAGTGAGGTTTGGTTTGTAGGCATCTCCGCTGGGGAGAGAGGAGCTGGGCAGGGGGCTGCGCTTTGGAGAGATGCGACAACTACTTTTTGATCCAGTAGCCATGGGTGTTTGCGAGGGACGGGCTGGGAGAAAACTGGTTCGAGGTAACAGCCATTTACGAGCTCCTTTCTCTCCCCCTCTCTCTTTTCCAAAGGAACTGGCTAAGTACTTCTTGGCAGAATTGCTCTCAGAGCCAAGCCAGACAGAAAATGAAGCCCTGGAGCCTGAGGACTTGTCCCGAGGAGCTGAACAGGATGAAGTGAGGCTGGAGCTGGAGCGATCTGCTAACTCCAACCCAGCCTTGGCACCCAGAGAACGCAAAGCAGGGTGCAAGAATTTCTTCTGGAAAACATTCACATCCTGTTAGCTGTAGATCCGAGCCGTTCCGCCCATCCATCCCGTCCCCAAGCCCTCAGACCCTGAGGGGAACCCTCATGACAGGACCAGAAGACTGTACATACCCAACATGCGGTGATGGTGAAATTAAAAACAAACAAAAAAAAACAAAACAAAAAAAATGGGAGTTTGATTTGGAGCTGTTTTAATAAAATTTTCTGTTTAGATTGTACATGATTTGCTTGAGTTGTGATTTCTGACTAGTTCTTTATGACATTCACTCTGCAGCTCTCTCAGATGTACTATTTTTAATTCTTTGTCGCAATAAAGTTTATGTTTCAAATGGTAAAGCTTGGAGTTTTTTGGTCACTGAGACAAAAAAATCACCTCTTTGAGACTGGCTTTGTCTTTGAGGGTATGAATAAAGCACTAGGAGGCAGGAAAAAGAACCCCGCCAGCGACGTATCAGAATCCGTCAGGTTACTGTCTATGAATGGTTGAGCTGAATGATTGTCGAGTCCACTGTCTACAAGGGTTGAGTACCATTTTATAGTTAGGTCCAAAAAAGGTCAACATTTCAGTCAATCTTTTGGTCTAGGGGATGGAGCTGAACATCAGGGATGTGTCTAAATTCCTCCACTGCTTTGAAAAGCACAACTTTAACATAGAAAAGCAAGGGGCTGCACTGAAGTGCTGACACGCCGTGAATGAGTCATACCCCTTTCCCCAAGGAAACCCTAAGAAAACCTTCGTATCAAACTAGGAGACATTTTATTTATTCGATATAATTAAACGACACTTCTGAAGTGTATTAGGAGAGCGTCAAATTGCTTCTATGGTGCTAGTTTTCACGTCCCTACAAAGCTAAGTGTTCGAACATGACAGCATCTGCTTCAGAACGAAGAGAAAAATACCCGAGTAGCAACTGGCAGAATCCATTAACTCATTAGTTGCAATCCCTTTTCTCAGTGCCCTAACACCACTGAACACAAAGCCAGGACTTTGTGATATACCAGCGGTAGGAAGGGGGGCCTTATTTGAACAGAAAGAAGACGGGGAATTCCCAGTGAGTCAGCTGTTCTAGCTTTATTGGTTTGTGAGACACTGAGCCAGAAGCCAGTGAGGAGTTCAGCACTTATTATTGAGTTTTCTGCACTTGAGAAGTGTATAATTTGGAGGCAAAGCTCCATAGAGGCATTTTGGACGCCCTTGCTTCTTTAAATAGACTGTTTGGATGGGTTGAATAGTAGCTGAGCTATGCCACATCCAAAAGCCAGCCTTCCCCATGGCTTTCCTCTTGGCATAATGCACAGAGGGGGTATCTCTCTAGCTCTCTTTCTCTATACCTGCAGGTGATAGCCCCAAAAGCCATATTCCACCCTGCCCGGCTCAAGAAGACCGATGGGATGTCATCAGTGAGGTGGAAAGGCAAATACAATCCCTTCCACCAGCAAGGCTGATACATGAAATGACTCCATACAGATTATATGGAAAGTTTGGAAGCTACGCTTGACTTGACCATTATAATCATCTTCCACAATTTCATTTTAAAGGCAAAGCAGAATGCCGTCTTAGAGACTAACTCCTTCACAGAGGCATGGCTTTTCATCCATTCCTAGCCGCTGATGAAGTCGGTTGTTGCTTTTGAAAGCTCCAACCTCTCTCTGCACCAATTAGTCTCCCAAGTGCCACCCTGCCCTGCCCTCTGCCTGACTTCAGACCAACATAGCATTAGCTAGCCACTTCTCCTATTAATCCAAACCTTGCTAAACCCCCCTGC